AGAAAACACTTGACGAAACTGTCCTACTTTTGGTGTCAACTTTCTAAAACCCCAATGGAGAAATTCCTTTCAGAAGTCAGTTCTAAGAAAGTTTGTCATCATGAAAAACTGTTATACCTCTTCCTTTTGAGAAAGGATGTTTAGTGTCTTAGAATCCATTAAAAACTTAAGGGCTATCATACCTTTACCAGGACTAGCATTCATTTAACTTTTTTGCTAATATTTACTTATACTTAGCTAATTTGCTTCTGTCGTTTCAAAAATCTTTATTCAAAATGAGGTGTGTCAGCACCCTACAGAGTATAATTATTTACAATAGGTGGAAACTCACAGTATGACTGGTATAAATACAAAAATCTAGACCTAGAAAACCGAATTACATACTAGGCATCAAGATCAAAAATGGGATTAACACCTAATTTACTCTGATTATATACAACTACTTGCATGAATATACTTGGTAAAACAATTCAAGTATTCATTTCCACAAATTAATTTCTAATTGTAGATTTTTATCTATTTGGCTAAAATATAATGTTTTCTGTTGCAAATCAAAAAGACAAATATTTGAAATTTTTACATTATTAGATTCACTAACAATCTCTCCCCCCCCCCCCCCCCGCTTTTTAAATTTTTTTAATTGTAGACAGACACAATGCCTTTATTTTATTTATTTATTTTTATGTGGTGCTGAGGATTGCCTCACATATGCTGGGCAAGTGCTCTACCACTGAGCTATCACTCCAGTCCGTCTTTCCCCCCATTTGATTACCCAGATTTTAGTTTTTGCTGACAAATATTCCACAACCTAATAAAAGAGAAGTTTCTAATCTTCCTGAGTTCACGTATATGTGAATCTCAGTAGTGAATTACAAAACATATTCTAGCTTCTTCTTCTTTAAAAAAAAAAAAAAATCTGAATAAGATCCCTGGTAGCTTCTGGTACACCTTATCTTAATCTTGATGAGGCATGCAAATAGCAGCTTCAAGATTATATATCAAGAAGATGACACTGTTATTAGAGCTATGGCTTACAAACTAACTAAAAGACTTAAGGCCCTAAGAAAGTCTCAGTTCCTCCCCAAGGTACCACAAACCCACTTGTGTCATGCTTTGTTTATAGACTGAATAATTCACTACGATTTTTCAGATGTTTTCAGTAGAACTTTAAATTCATTTAAAAGCATTTATTTAAACCATAACCAATGGTGTGTGTGGGGGGGTGTTCATAACAATGTTTTAAAGTTAAAAGGGACCAATTATTTTAAAAGGCAAGGGATCTATCACTTCACTGGTTAATAACAAGGTTTTAATGTGAGATGGTCCTAAATATGACACCTGCCTCTATTTTTACTAATAGAAATGACCTTGGGAAAAGCCTTAACTATGGTAAATACAGATCCACTGTGCTCTACATTGGTCAGAACTTTCCTGGAAACCTAAGTCAATTTCCTGTATTCACAAGGTGGGAGGAATAGAACTTGGCCTAGGACTTCTGGGGAATTTTTAAAATGTCTAACATTTGGGGGTTTATCTGGCAGATTACAGGGATTAGAGGTTGGGTTCAAATTACACACTGAAAAATGGCAGAATTAAGAAGTTAGGGAGAAGCAAACTTTGGCTACATTTTAGAGGACTTCCTAATCACAATCACCCTATACTCAAATAGGCTGATTAGGAAGGTAATCATAAAGTATTCAAACACAACGACTGAAGCTATAAAACCACCTACCTAGCATTTAGTAGAAAGCACACAACATAGGAAAACATACAACTTCTTTCCCAATTTTAAGAGATTGAGGTGACCATAATAGTTCTTGTGCTTTTATAGTTGTCATTTAATTATCATAATAACCCTATAAAATAAGCACCATTTTTAAAGGAAGAGGACAACAGTGAGAACAACTAACTTAAGTTGATCATGGTAACATAATGTATAAATGGCAAAGCTGACTTTCAAGCCCAATACACCTGACTCATTTTGGGCTCCTTTTCACTGTCTCAGCAGATCTCAACCTTGACTCACAGCAGAATCACCTCTTGAACTTAAAAGAGGAATAATGGTCAATTTAGAAGCACTAGTAAGTTCAAATGATTGGAAGGTAGCACATTGCTAATACAAACAAATTTGTAAGTTTAAGTGCAGATACAAAGTTCTATCAATGACATAAGAATAAAATTATCTTTTATAAGATGGTAAGAATTAAAACTGAAGACATGGTTGACTAATAGCAGCTAGTTTAAAACAAACCTGCTGGGCATAGTAGTGTATGTAACCTAAGCATCTCAGGAGGCTGAGGCAGGAGGATCTCGAGTTCAGAGCTAGCCTCAGCAATTTAGTGAGGCCCTAAGCTGTTTAGCAAGACCCTAAGCATCAAGTCCCTGTCTTTAAATTAAAATATAAAAAAGGGAAGGGGATGTGACTCTATAGTTAACCATCCCTGGCTTCAATTTCTAGGAAAACAAAACAAGACATAATCCTAAATTTAGTATAGAACTAATCTTAATCCTATACAAGGATAGTGAGAAGAAGCTAGGTAACAATTGCTAATAGTATTCCTATTTTTGAAAGTATGCATTGGGATTCAGTATTTGTGCTTTTCTTTAAATAAGTCCAATCATATAGTTTTGCCATCAATCAACTATTACTCAAAAGAACAGCTTATTCTTTAAAGGAAATGCATTGCACATATTTGCAAGGGCTCAAGTATATATATGTATACATGCATGTGTTTTAAAATATTATAAGGTCCCATTAAGTCCAAACAAAGTACCCTTAATATTTTATTTAACAAAGAAGCCTCAGGGATCTTATTTCTAAAAACTTGATATAAAGTACTAGAAAAAAACAATAGCAAATACTATTCACTAACATATATACTAATTTTCACATAACTAAAATTTCTACCAAAAAAATAGTCCACATCCAAGAATTAAGAAAAACCCATTTCACAGGTTTACTATGGCATTTTGACCCCTGGGAGATAAAATAATAATTCTTTTTAATAGAAAGTATTCCATCCTCAGCCAGGTGCAGGGGCTCATGCCTGTACTCTCCAATGGCTTGGGAGGCTGAAGCAGGAGGATTGCAAATTCAAGGTCAGTCTCAAAAATTAGCAAAGCTCTAGCTACTTAGTGAGACCCTGTCTCAAACTAAAAAAATAAAACAGGCTGGGGATGTGGCTCAGTGCACTTTTGGGTTCAAACCCTAGTACCAAATAAGAAAGTATTCCATCAGATGACCATCATCATGTAAAAATCAGTCAATGAATAGTCACAATGTTCTCAGATACAAGCACTTGATAGTAGTGCACAAGCCTAAGAGGTATGTGTAGGAAGAAACCTCAAACTCACTGAGCTCCTTCTTCAAATAAAATTAGGCACAGCCAGATTAAACTAAAGATAAAAATTTCTACTCTTTCTATTCATACTCATAACAGTGGTCTTCCTTCTCATTCTATAAGAAATCCCCATCATCAAGGTGATATGCTAAGATTCTCGCATACATTCTTTTAAGAATATACTGAAGAAAAGGTTTTCAGTGGCCTCTCTTCTAACTAATGCAAAGGAGAAAGAAAATTAGATGGTGTAATTGGATATATAAAATCTGTAATGAAAACAGAACAGTAGCTCTAAACAAATTAGAATAATTTAGTTGGGCACAGTAGTGCATGCCTATAATCTCAGCAGCTCAGGAGACTGAGGCAGGAGGATTTTGAGTTCGAAGACAGCTTCAGTAATTTATCAAGGCCCGAAGCAACTCAGCAAGACCCTGTCTCTCTAAATAAAATATAAAGAGCTGGGGTTGTGGTATAGTGGTTAAGTGCCCCTGGTACCAAAAAACAAACAGAAGTTAGAATAATTTCATAATTATTTAAATTGTATAAAATAAATATTTTTAAATACAGCTGGGCACAGGGGCACACACCTGTAATCCCAGCAACTTGGGAGGGTGAGGCAGGAGGATCCAAGTTTGAGGCCAGCCTCAGTATTTAGTGAGACTCTGTCTCAAAACAAAAAATAAAAAGGGTTAGGGATGTGGTTCAGTTGTAAATGCTTCTGGGTCCAACCCGTAGTACAAAAAAAAATTAAATATAAAAAAGACAAAGTGTTAACTAGGTCTTACAAATGTTCCAGAATGAGCCAGGCATGGTGGCACATGCCTTACTCCCAGCTACTCAGGAGGCTGAGGCAAATGATCACAAGTTGGAAACCTGTGTAGGCAACCACTTAGCTATATCTGTCTAAAAATAAAATAAAAAGAACTGGAATATGTACTGTATACCGTGGTAGAACACTTGTAGTGTGTGTACAAGGCCCTGGTACTGCCAAAAAACAAAAGGTTCCAAAATGACACCATGATTGTATATAATGAAAAAGACTATCTTTTCTAGTACTAATAAAATAATTACTACAGAGGTTAAAGATGAGAAAAGTCAAAGAAGTGCACACAGAGTTCACATTCCTTAATAATACAGACAGTCCCCAATTTAAGATAGTTCAGCTTAAAAATTCCCAACTTATGGTGTACAAGTGCACCCACACAACCATTCTTTTTCACTCTTAGTACTTAGCATTTATTATAAAATAGGCTTTGTGTTAGATAAGTTTGCCCAACTGTAACCTAAGTGTTCTGAGCATATTTAAGGTAGGCTAAGCTAAGCTATGATGTTCAGGGTGCTAAGTATATAGCATGTTTATATGACCTGGTAGTTTTTTTTCTTAGTTCATGAAGCTATAACTTCATCTTAAATCAAGGAGCATCTGTGTATGTAATGCCTGGTTATTAATACCAACTTTTGAGAAACTCACATATACATGTTTGAGAAAAGACAAAAATAAACCAAAAATTTTTACGTTTGAATGATTTCTCCCTTACTCTATTACAGACATTCATTGAGTACTATTATTTTTATAATAAAATTTCAATTAAAAATATGCTTCAAGATTATAGCCCATTAGATTGAAAACTGATTTATCTTTGTATATACAATATTTACCTGGTTCCTCCTTAATGATTAGGGTCTTATTTTCTTCTGGATAGGCAACAGGTGGCTGCATCGCTGAGCAATCTTCTAAATTTGTTTCATTATTAGGTGGTATATTATAAATAAATCTCTTTGTAGTTTGGTTTTTCCTCCTTGTTTTGCCAGTGTCTTGAATTCCCTGGGAGACCATGTTATTCCAAATAAATACTTTTGTTTGACCTTGAGATTCATTTTCAGCCAATTCAGGAGAACCATCCTGGACCCAATTACTGTCATTCATTTGGTAGTTTTCTATTTGGCCCTCGTCGACATTACAACCATCATTTTCAATTTTTATATTACTTGCCAAATTGGTAAGATTCCGTGTTGCCCAAAAGCTGGCAATTTTTTGATCCCGTGAAGACAGACCATCTCTATTAACTGGTTTTCTGTTATTGTAGTCCACAACTACAGACTCCGGAGCTTCTGATTTAATGCTTATATTTAAGGCATCTTTAATGAAATTTCGGCAAGTTTGAACAACTTCACTCATTTGAAGGTAGCTGGCCACTGTCATCACTTCAATGGCATTTTGGCTTGTGAGCACCAGGTTACCAGAATACAAGAAGTCCAAGATGACTGAAAAACCTTGAACTGCAGCAATATCTAAATGGGTAGTATTGTTTTGGTTAGGGCTTTCTTTGTTTGAAACGCAATATAAAGTCTTAAAGAAACGGCTGCCTGCAACCAGGATGTTCTTATGAGCTTTAAAGATTTTCCCGCTCACCACAATGCTGACATCACAAAGAATGTCTTTCTTTCTCTGTTCATCTAGTTGTCGAAGAAGTTGATAACAATAAGAGTTCTCATTTGGCCTACTATTAAAGTCACAGTACCCCTCCTCTGATGGAATTTCTGATTCCTGTAATTGAATAAAAAACATTAATATTACATTTTATTTACATTTTAAAGTCCTTAACACAAGGAAAACATTTTCATTACCAATGTAAGTTTTTAAAATGTACTAATCAAACAATGTTGTAATCATCATGCCTTGAGAATAAAATGATCATCATCCCAAATATTGAAAGGAATGGAGTGAATAGTATGGTGCAACCCATTGCTATTAAAAGATAAATGGAACATATCTGACAGGATAAGCAAGATTTCATTGATTTTTCTTTTCAAATATAAAATAAAGACATGATTTGAGAATTATTTAAAATTAAAATCAAAACAGCAATTATTTTCTTAAGAAACTTTCATTTATGGAAATCAAAATAGTTTGCTTAATCTCTTAACAGGAAAGCAGCAATCTCCTCTATGACAAAACATAAAATATCGAAGTTATAATACAACGGACATATCACCTAAGGTCATAAAACTATAAACTGCATAAGTTAACATTTCTGAATTTAAAAATCTTATAATTTTGCTTATCAATCTTATAGGTATTCACTACTGTTCAATTTTGCATTGCTCTAGGTGAATTCCTATACAATAATCAAAATTGTGTGGTTCATTATAAAATATGATCTAATTTCAGAATGCTATTTGTACTCTAGTTATTAATCATGTGTTCTTGGAAAAGTCACTATCCCTGAGTTGTCTTCTTAAATAACAAAGCAGAACTACAAATATTAGTTTTAACAACCTTATGACTTTCTTCATTCAATGACTAGGCTGGTAAACTTCCTTCAAGCAGAACTATAATATCCCTATAATCCTACATAGTGCTTTGCAGTTATTAAACTTTGCTAAATAACTAATCATTTTTTTCCCAAGAGAAAAACTGCTAAGACATTTCTAGTAGAAAGGATGACAGAAGCTGAGCATAATGGTGCATGCCTATAATCCCAACAGCTCAGGAGGCTGAGGCAAGAGGATACCAAGTTCCAAGCCAGCCTCAGCAACTTAGGGAGGCTCTAAGTAACCTATGGACCCAGTCTCAAAAAATAAAAAGGACAGGCTGGATATGTTGCTCAGTGGTTAGGCACCCCTGGTTCAATCCCGGGTGGTGGAGAATAAGGATGACTGAAAAGGCTGACCTTGAGTGCTAAAAATTTTTAAGTGCTAAAATTAAGTGCACAATAAATGAAGCTACACACACACATACACACACAAAATCTATTTTATGAGAATAGAGAAAAACATGGAAAAATACAGGTCCAAAAAGGACCTGAAGAGAGGAAGCAGTAGTAAGGAAGATAGGACTGCAAAAGAATTCTTAGAAACATTATTCTAAATGGTTGATTCTTAATCACAAAACTCCATTTATCAAGGAAGCTGAGGAAGAATACAAGGTTAGCCTTACCAATTTCAGGAGACCCTGCCTCAAAAATAAATAATAAAAAGGACTAGAAATGCAGCTAAATGATAAAGCACCCATGGGTTCAATTCCTCATACCAAAAACAAAAACAAAAAACAAACTTCATTTAACCCAACTGCAGGTGTGGCAAACGTATAGCTTTATGTCTGAATCCTGGTCAAAGGAAGCTATACACAAAATAATAGCAATTCTCTGAAACTAAAACATAGCCCATTTGAGAATTTCTGTGCTATTTCCAGGGTTGGGTGGCCAACCAAAAGAAACAAAATATTAGAATTCCAGAACACTTCAATGTTCCATAGGGATAATGGAGCTAGTACTATAAGACTGCTACAAAATGAAGCAATCAGAGTAGAGAATTTCTTTTCATTTTCACTTGACTTTTAGCAGTCTCCCTAACCCCTCTTCATGTCTCAGGTGCATAATGCCATTCTACCACAGCAAATCTCCCCTCTCCCCATGTCCCCCTACATCATACCAAAATGTTCCATGCTCTCAATTAGCTATTTCTCTCTCCTACCCACTCAATCCTCTGTAAAAATAAATAATAAATCAAAACAAATCCATTCATGAGCAAACTTCCAAATTTTTCATTTTTTTGGGCAGATGAGGGAAGAAGTGAAGTTACAGGGTTTTTTTGTTTATTTTTGGTGATGTTGAGGATCAAACCAACAGCCTCATACATACACACAAGCTCCAAGGGGTTGCTTTACTTAGATCATATATATAAACTAGTATGGTGTAAAATATCAAAACATTAAGCAAATGGTAATGAAAATATTTAGTGCTCATGAATATAAAGAACTAAGACAATACTAAAATGCCTATAATCATTACAATTACAGCATAATTTTCAATAAAGCCTCATACTGTTTACTTAATCTCCCCTTTGAGACTATTTGAATGAAATTTTATTAATTTGTCTATGCTCTTTATAGAAAATTCTGAACATGAATAGGAATCTTCTTTTAGTGTAAGCCTGACACTAAACTTTATTATACATGCTGTACCTAGTCAGCAAGCTCATTTGGTTCAAAGTTCTAATAGATATTTCAAAAAAAGCATCAATATTTGAAAGAAACAAAAATTTTAAACACTGAATAAAAATTTGGCAGCACATCCATAAAGTGTTTGTGGAAGCAGCAAATTAACATTTACAAATCAAGTACCACTTAATGTTTAAATAACAAGCAGTTGGAAGCCCTTTGGGAAGTGGTTATGTCTAATTGTAACCATCTCCTAGGTTATAGTCAACATGTCCTGTATTTTCTGGATGGGTCCCATCAATTTGTATAAGAGTCTCTGCCTTCATCACACCACAATGTTCTAATTTTTTAAAAATAACCCAGTCAAAAGCTTATGTACCAAATATTTGCCCATTCTATTTTGACATATCAAACACTATGCAACTGCTATTTTTCTCATACTACTGTACAAAAATATTAACATTTCCCTACTTTTACAAGCAAAACCAGCAATTTCTTTTCACTAATTATTAAAGGACTATGCTGTGTTTCAAACAACTTTTAAATATGCCCTTCAAAATGAACTGTTTCCAAGTCAAGAGTATATGTACTCTCCAAGGAGATTATTATTTAAGGAATTTGAGCAATACAGCTAAATATGCACATAATAAAATAAACTGCCAATATTATTTGCTGAACCAAATAAAAGTTAAAATATTCTTAGTACTAGTAACACAATCTTACAGTAGATTCTTAAAAACTCCAGGTATTGCTCTCTTTGGTTTCTTCAATATTCTATTTCCACATGATATTTTGGTGGCATTAGGTATCGCAGATAATTTTTAAATATAAAGATGAAGTTTAAATATCTGCACAACTGGTCTCTTCAAGTGTAGAACGATCTAAACAAGAAGACTTTAAAGAAATGGACATCCAGACCTAAATATGAAGTCTTAAATTTAATCTGTGAAAATGCTCAAGTAAAATCATTAATTTTAAACTGGATAAGACCTTAGGATCAGTTCTTCCAAAGTTTAGAGAAATGTCCACTTAAATTTTAACTTATCTTTATTTCCACAGGATGCTAACAAATAAAATTAACACTTAGAGGAAAAAGCTCTTAAAAGCTTAAAAAAAATCCTACTTTACTCATTCATTTAATAATCATTAACAGATTACCTACTTTTAGTCAAAGCCTATGCTTAGAAACAAAATAATTTAGTTTCAAACTTTAAGTTAGTATTAGTAGAGAGAACCTTTAGGTACTGAAGAAAATAAATAGATGTTATAAGAGCAGAGCCAAGGTCTTCTATTCCAGTTTTTTTTTTATAGGTATTGCAATGTTTTTTGAGAAGAAAGGAGATCTTAGCACACTCAAAGAAGAGTGAATAAGAGGGTGAAGTAGATTCTAAGCAAATGAGACAGCATGAGGAAAAAAAAAAATCCTAAAATGGTCAACAGAATCCCCAGAATTCTAGATCCATCCAAAAACTTCAAGGTGCCCCGCTCATCCACTTATGCAAATATGCACATTTTTTCCAGGGGTAAATGTTCATCATTTTCCTCAGATTTATAAAAGAATTAGATCCCTGAAAGATGAAGAAACTGCCCAGCACAGTGGTACACACCTGTATTCCAGCATTTTGGGAGGCTGAGGATCAAGTTTGAGGCCAGCCTGGGTAATTTAATGAGACTGTGTCTCAAAATTTAAAATTCTTAAAAGGACTGGGATGTAGCTCAATGGTAGAGTATCTGAGTTCAATCCCCAGTACCACCACACCACCATCACCCCCCCACAGACAAAAAAAAACCCCAAAAGCCCAAAATATGATCAAGAACCACTGCTATGGGGGGGGGGTTGTGGCTCAGTGGTAGAGTGCTTGCCTACCATGCATGAGACACTGGGTTCGATCCTCAGCACCACATAAATCTAAAATTAAGATATTGTGTCCACCTACAACTAAAAAATATTTAAAAAAAAAAAGAATCACTGCTATGGGAACCTTACAGAGTTTTTAGAGTGTAAAGTGTATGTAAATAAAAGCATGGGATATATTTAGACACAGAAACAGAGATAGACACACATATATAAATTAAAGCTGGGGATTGAACCCAGGGCCAGAGTTTTTAGAAGCAATGACAAGACTGAACTGGTAGGCAGAAGATGTGACTGTAGCAGCAATGTGGAGAATTAACATCAAACCAAGTCTGCAGATCCTGTGACCAATACTGAATCTACTGTTAATAGTACAATGTACGTACAAGCAACAAGAACCCTAAGTAGGGAAGACAGATATTAATGGAGGGTGGCAGCAATGTGGAGGATTAAATCAAACCTAGTCTGCAGATCCTGTGACCAATACTGAAGCTACTGTTAATAGTACAATGTACGTACAAGCAACAAGAACCTTAACTAGGGAAGACAAATTATTAATGGAGAGGGAAAGGCAGAACCTAATAAAAAACTGAAAGGTTAAATCAGCAGAATTTTTAAAATTTTTTTAGTTGTAAATAGATACAATAAATTTTATTTTTATATGATGCTGAGGATCAAAACCAGTGCCTTCCACATGCAAGGCGAGCGTTCTACCACTGAGGACAACCCTCAGCCCAAATCAGCAGAATTT